CCTCCTATTATGCCCTTTTCTTCTCTAGATGGTTCATGAAGTAGAATTTCTAACATTAAGATTCTATTTTAGATTCTTTCAACTGCAATTTCTTTGTCTTCTTTGGACAAACTGTAATTTTATTCCATTTTTATGTTATGTCCCTACTTTTGTGAAGCCACTTTTAGACCCTTAGTCATAGAAATTATACTGAAATGGATAACCTAAAAATTATTATGGAAAACAGAGTGATACAATACAACTCCAAAAGCCACGGTGTTGCTTTGAGAAAAGCCAACAGAGAGGAGAAGAGAGGGGACTGTTAGTAAAGATGGAAAAAGCAAGAAAATTGTGTTTTATGGCTATAGAGATACCTCATGATAAATACTGAGAACAATAATGATCATGGCCAGAGCCCGACATAACTGAAAACACAAATGTGTCTATGCTGATTTGATTAAGATGGTTGTCAAGAAAGCAGTTGTCAGAACTATTTTCAGTGTCTTAGCTGAATATGACATGATATTGTAAGAGAGCAAGCAATAAGCTAAAGGAAAAAAGGAATTCTCAACCAGAACTTGGAGGTTACACTTCTCACCCAGAATTCACTGAGTTTGAATATAGAAATTTAGCATTCGAAACAAGCAAATGATTGATTCTTGGTGTAATGCAGTGTCTCCAGAAAACATCAACCCAGAGTGTGGTAGAATAGCAGTTTAAGGCATGTGGCTTTTGCTTATGCTGCATTTGTTATGCTCTGTGCAGCTGTGTTACTGTGCCTGTCCAAAACACCAAATAGTCCTAATAAAGAGCTGAATGGCCAATAGCAAGGCAGGTACAAGGATGGAGAGGGGAGGCAGAGAGTATAAATGGAAGGAGAAACGAGGAGAAACAGCAGCAGAAGAAGAAGCAAGAAGAGAACAAGAAGAGGAGGAAGTCAGGGGCCAGGCACCCAGCCACCCAGCCACCCAGCCAGGCATGGAGTAAGAAGGAAAGCCAGATATACAGAAGTAAGAAAGACATAAGGAAGAGAAAGAACCCAGAGGGAAAAGGTAGATGGGATAATTTAAACCAAGTAGAGCTGGCAAGAAACAAGCCAATCTAAGGCCAGACAATCATAACTAAAAGCAAGCTTCCATGCATTCATTTTGGGTGCTGCCTGTAAGAATGAGCAAGTGAGGGCATAGTGAGAAAATGCATTGTGACACAGAACCTCAGCAGGGTTTCAACTTGGTCTAACACAACCTGACAAAGAACTAATTGTTAAGCAAAGATTATAACTGAATCCAGGGTACTCTCAAAGTACTTGCTCAGAATACAGTCTAACCAGCATCTTACATTCCTTCTTATACTACAGCCACAATGTTTTATTTAGTATTACTTTTGAATAATAATAAGAAAAAATGTTACAGCTAATTTGCATTGGACACCTTTGAACACTCAGTGTTGTGATAAATGTATTTCATAAACTAGCATACTGCTTACCCAAGACTTCCATCTCCATTTTAAAATTGTTTGGACAGTTTTGTTTTCATTCCAAGTATTTATTCATTCATATAGATGCAATTTTACTTAATGATACTCAAAGCAACGTTTTTGTTTTATTTTGTTTTATGTTTTTTTTTTTTTTCTAGACAGGTTTCTCTGTGTAATAGTCCTGGCTGTTCCGGAATTCACTCTGTTAAACCAGGCTAGCTTCAAATTCACTGAGATCCAACTGTTTCTGCCTCCTGAGTGCTGGGATTTAATGGTGGATGCCACCAGCAGCCAGCACACAAAGCAATTTTAATTATAAGAATAAAATCACGAAAGGGCGCAAAGTCAGATTTTTCATTTATAGTTGATAGTCGGTCAACTAAAACATTATTAGAAAATATAATCAATGCTTCTACTTTTAAGAAAAACTACAGAATCCAGATGAGACAAACTTGTACACAGCCATTAATAGCAAGTTAGATCCAAAATTTCAGCCTTGAAATTTTGACTTCAAATGGTCCACTCCTAGCCATTGTGCTATAGTCCCTACCTTAGATCCAACTGGTTTGTTGAGGGGTTAAAGAAAGTATGGGAGGCAGAGTTAACCAAAATTAACTATTATGAAAAACTACTATTAAAACTCACTATATGGAAACTAATAATTTCAATAGCTAACTAAAAATGTACCTTATTTTTAAAATAAAACAAAAAAAATGATAATTTGAATGAAGTTACACTGCATGAGTGGATATTGATACTTCTAGAAGCCAACAGTAACTAAATGTAAATACCACGGCCAAATGTGAGACTTAGCTCTATGAGGTATTGTTAGGTAGGTACCAGAGACAACCAAAAATACACAGATTATTGCTATTGTTCTTAGTTTCCCATCATAATTTGAGCATAAGACCATATTTATGAAGAGACAATTTACTTTGGGCATAGAACACAGAAAAAATTAAACCAAGCACCCTCCTTCTTAGCTAGTATTCACTGTGGTAGAAAGTGCGATGCCAGCTATTGGAAGAAAAGAGTCATCCATAGTCTTAACAGATGTAGACTTGGCATGTTGCCATTGTGATCTCACAGACAAGATAATGTTTACTGGCAGAATAGTGGCATAGTTATTATGAGAATGACTGAATCTTTCTGAGTGAATATGAGTCATACTCCTCATGCGGAAAAACATTCGTGATCATGAAAACCTGGTCCAATGCTGTTGACTAGGAAACTCATAGGTACTAGAAGAGATTTTACTAAAGTTGTTTTGCTAAAAGGACATGTTGTTAAAATGCCTCCTAATTATTTATGTTTGTATCCATAGACTGTGATGCTCCCAACTTTGGCTATAGAAACTTCAGCTTGCAGTAAGTTAGTGCAAATTAACTTAGAGATTCAAAATGGACCCAAGTGCCGGGAGTAAATGACTGTTAAGTACTCAAACCTAACCAGGATCTGTATGTCACATACTCCTAGGACTAAGAAACGCGAGAGGGAGAAAAATGAGTGTAAGAGGAGGGAGATGGGGAGAAGTGTTGTGCCAGGTGTTTTCTGTAATTGCTAGTCATTAAATTCATGAATTCATAGAAGATGCAGTTACCTGCACCTGAGCTGTACAAGCTTGGACCATCAACATCCATCTTTGAGGGTGTAAGGTCTCATGGAGCCACACCCCTCTTTGAGAAGTTATGAAAATTGAATCAGTCCCTGGAGAAGGGGAATCATTTTTCTTCAGGTGATGGTATAGTCACATCTAGGGTGCCCAAGCACCAGGAAATGTCCCTCAGCTATGTCATGGGAGCAACCCTAATTAAACTCATTGGCATGTGCACTGGGCACCTACACAGAGAGAGAGAGAGGGAGAGAGAGAGAGAGGGGGAGAGAGAGAGGGAGAGAGAGAGAGAGAGGGAGAGAGGCAGAGAGAGAGAGAGGGAGAGAGAGAGAGACTAAGACAGGGAAACTAGTTGGAGAAAAAGAGAACAATTGAATTGAATCTGATAAAAATAATTTTTATATTTGTATGAATTTCTTATATGGGCAATACTAAAACAACTTAAATTAAGAAAAATTTTACCTAGCAACAGAACACTTTTTATATTGTGGATTGCTACCACAGTACATATACTGCATGTCCTTTCACAGAGCACGTTCCAGGATGCATGGACTATGGGGTTCTCTTGATTCTTTAGGGCACTGGACCTCTTGGATACATCTTCATTACATTCTTGCCTCAGTTCCAGTGAGCCTCAACTATGCACAGAAGTACTTTACTGGCCACAAATGGGCACCTTGTATGAGAAGATAGTTTTATGAAACTTGTAGCCGATCTTCAGCTGTACTAACACTAACCACAAACTACTTGTAACATTTAAAATAGTCCCTATACAAAAATAGAATAAGACAAAAATAGCTTACACTTGAAACAAGAAAATGAAAAAAATTAAAAACAAAACAAAACAAAAAACCCACTACCACCAACAAATACTCTGCATTAGCGAAGGCAGGGAAGAGCAATAATATGAGCAACAGGGTCAAGACCATTTTGGGGAAACAGCTGACCTGAGCTAGTAGGAGCTCACTAATTCCAGACAGTTGAGCAGTCTGTAGGGCCACTGGCAGTGTGACCAGGATTTATACTAGTGCTTGCACTGGATTTTTGGAGCCCATTCACTTTGGAAGGATGCCTTGCTCAACCTAGATGGGCTACCTCAAAGTGATGTGCCAGACTATGCTGACTCCCCATGGGAAGCCATACCCTCTCTGAGGAGTAGAGGAGGGTGGGTGATGGCTACATGGGGGAAGTGGGAACTGAGATTGGTATACAAAATGAGAAAAGATTGTGTTAAAATAAAATAAACGATAAAAAATAAAATAAGTAAACAAAACATCAAACTAACACAGAACCCTACAAAAATGAAGAATGATAGCAGAAATCTGAAGCACATACAAAGTTAAAAAAAAAATTATCCTGTTATGGTTCCCATAGCAACTGAAACACAGTTGAATTTCGCTTATGTTAAGTAAGTTTAACTTGAATAGGAATGCAAAATACTTCCTCTGAGCCAAAATGAGAAAATACAGGAAGCACAGAGACAATGGTCCAAAATATCCAGCATACAACTAATTCAAACATTACCCTTAATGTGAATTGAAAATTTAACGTCAGTAGTATATAGTTGTTTGCATTGGTTTTAAGCTATGTTTGTCTACTTTTTGAGCTAGGATTATTTTAAATGAGAAAACAATCTTATTAAATTTTCATAACTCAGAGGTCACAACTTGGTAATTTAGAAATATAGAATCATGGTTTTGCTTGTAATTATATGAAACCATTTGTCCAAAGTGCAATTAATGAAAATACAACATGATTACATCCATTATTAAACTCAATTACTATTGATGTTATCTGGCACTATGAAAATAAACACATGATTTAAGACTATCCTACTGTTAAAGTAGAATATATATTTAGTTTGCAAGAATTTTGTAGGTTGCATATCTTTCTCCAGTTGAGTAAAGATGATAAATGCAGAAAGAATACTTACTCCCGTAATGTAACGAGGTCTATACTGAATAGTCCCAAACAAACCAAGGATGACGATGATAATATGTACAAAATTTGCCAGGATAGGTGCCCACTGATATCCAAGGAAATCAAATATTTGCCTCTCCAGCACACAAACCTAGAACAGCAAAAGAGGATGAAATAAGTCAGCACAAATGAGAAATGTCAGAGTCAGAGATGAAAGGATCAGTATGACATTGTAATTAGCAAGTATGACTCTACTATTATATGTGGTGGTAGGGTATTTATTTAACAGTCATATTGCAAAAGAACACCATCTGAGTATCCACAGAGAGCTGTTCACCTTTCAGGGATGGCTCTGTGGAGGCACCCAGCACTATTTATAAGATGTCATTTGTACATTCACACACACACACACACACACAATATCATTATATGCACTATCAATCATTTGACATCGTCAACCAGAAAGGTAAGCAAGTCCCCATGCAGGGCTTCTTTGGATCTCTTCAAATGTCACTCTGTAAGTTGGGTATTCACAAGGGGAGTTGCTACAGGGGAATAAAAAGAAACTCAGCGAGGCACTAGGATTTATGAAGATCCACAACCAAACAAGCTACATTAGTCATTTCTTCTCCGAGTGTCTGACACCCTACTGTAAAGTGAAGAACTTCAACAGATGGGAAGGGTCCTATCAATCCTAACAGTGTAGAGCTATAAAGCAACCCGATTTTTATTATACAGACAATGTAAAAGAAAGGCCAAAAAGGAAATAAGAACGTGAAAAAGAAAAGAAGATAATGACATTTTTTAAAGCAAGAACATCTAATCTATGCTCCCCAATTTGTAATTAAGATATAGAAGAATTTTGAGCAGACAAAAATAACAGCAAAATAACGGCAACAAATTGTAAGAAGCTCTGAAATTTCATTTTACACTAGATGGTGAAATTAGATTGCTGGCAAATCCTAACAAAACAAATAGTCTGTTGGCTTTCTTGTGTGTCCTCGGGTGGACAGATAATAAACTCATTGTTCAGAGAAAACATTGCAAATGGTCTCAGTGTTCCACACTAAGACTTGGGAAACCTCAGCCATGATTTCAAATGAAGTGGTAATTTAAAAACTCTCCAAATACCAAAAGCCAGGCTGGCTCTTGGGAACCTGTTCCTCATAATGGGTCGCCTTGAGCCGTCTTAATACAAGGGCAGGAGCTTCTGCTAGTGCAACTTATTTTGCCATGTTTTTGTTGATATTCATGGGGGCCTGCCCTTTTCTGAATAGAAAGGTGGTGGGTTGAATATAGGGGTCAGAGGCAGGAGGATCTCTGTGAGGCCAGCCAGGTCTACAAAGCTACACAGAGAAACCCTGCCCCCCTCCAAAAAAAAAAGTGCTTATTGCGCAAGCCTGATGACTCAAAGGTTAGATCCCTGGAGCCAACAATGGAAGGAGAAAACTCTTTCCCAAGAATTGTCCGCCCATTTTGACGTCTACATATGTTTAGTGGCAGATATGTGAAGCTCATGTATATGTACACAGATATCCACTCTCAGTAATACATATTTTATAGTATTTTGGAAATTATAGCAAAATTACATTATTTCTACCTTCTCTTTTCTCCATCCCATCTCTCCCATGTACTCTCCTAGGTCTCTCTGAAATTCATGGTCTCTTTTCCTGTGTGTGTGTGTGTGTGTGTGTGTGTGTGTGTGTGTGTGTGTGTGTGTGTGAGTATGCATGTATGTTCTTAACTATATAAATACAACCTGCTTATTCTTATAATATTACCTATATGCATGTTTTAAATTTAAAATTTGTACATAGGGCTTAGTTTGAAGACTTCAGAGCATCATTCCTACTTCAGTACTTTAGCTAGGTAACAGACTTTCTGTTGAAGATGTGAAAGAGAAAAGAGATTCCCCAAAACCTGTTTGTATAATAGTGCCATTTCCTAAAGCAAAGCGCAAACCATTCAATGACTGTAGTTGTTACAAGCCAGGCTAAACAGATGATGTCACTGTGTCTTTGCAAGGATAGGGGTCAAAAGAGAAAATTAAAGAGAAGAGGAAGAAGAGGGATAGGAGGAAGGGTCAATGATGATGATGATGATATCTAGTCTGTGGTCCCTTTCATATGCTAAATGCATCATAGCACCAGATAACACAATACAATAGTCTTATTGGCTAATGACCACAAATATATTTAGGGCTTGAACATAGCAATTCCATAAACAAATGTACTTTCCAGGAAGAAGAAACATTCCTTAGCTATTTCAAGTATTAAGCAAGATAAATGACATCTATCTGTGAAAGAGAGCAATGCTGAATGCACCTTGAGTGCCTGCATAAAATGTGTCAAAAATTAAGTGGTTCTTCTGACAATGCCTAGTAATGTATATGGAAGCTCATCTCCACATCAAGCTTCCTTCTTTTTGCGTATGAATAAATGGTAAACAAAAACGAAAGCCAACAGCAAGAAAAATCTAAACTCTGTATTTTGAGCATCATAACTATGGGAACACAGCAGGAGAAAAACACAGAGCAGATCAGTCAAGCAGTGAGAACTTTCTGAACAAATGGACCAGTTACATGAGAAGATCATACGGCTATCATTAATTATAAAAACATACAAACAATGATGTGCTTGCTAAGTTTGCAAGTCTAACATGAAAATTTAACAGGATTTATTAGGTTCATCATGACAGAACTAATAGCTTCTTCCTCATGAGATTATGAAGAAAGAAAAACCTTATAAAGGATGTTTTACACTCACACACACACACACACACACACACACACACAAACACTCCATCTCTTTTTTTTCATTGTTATATTGTAGATAATAAATTGCCTTATTAATTCTGTTGTAATTTAAAGCTACACTGAAGAATGGAAGCCATTCAGTGAATCTACAATGGGTGACAATTTTTAGGCATAGTTCAGTTTTTTCCTCAGATTTCTTTCCATCAGGAAAAGTAGTAAATATAAGAATAAGATATTGTTTGAACCCCCCCCAATGTCCTGAATACATACACACCCCTCCTCAGTCACGCACAAACCCAAGGACATAAACATGATTGTCAGACAATGTAGATTAAGGATTATAAGAGTTATCACATCTGATTATGCTGTGGACACAAAGATAGTATTGGAAACCAAATATAGTGTCTATAATTTCAGTGTTGAGGAGGTGGAGACATGAAAATCCTGGGGCCCTGCTGGCCAACCCTCTAGGCAAATCAACAAGTTTCATGTTGAATGAGGGACCATCTCAAAAATCAAGGTCAGAGAGTGATGAAGAAAGACATCGGTTTTTGGCCTACATTCACACACACACACACACACACACACACACACACACACACACACACACACAGCCACACAAACATGCACTCACACAAACTCAAGCACACAGACATGCACACACTCCCACATACATTTATACACACACATACACACACACACACAAACATTTCATATATCCTAGTTGTTATGTTGTAGCATATGTACTGGTGATAAAAAATATGCAGGTTCATTACCTCTTTTATTTTGGTATAATACAGAGAATCTTTAACCATACTTTTAGTTTGTGACATTATCTTTGGCGACAGCAAAACTTATGATTTGCTCTTTTGGTTGTATTTCATTTATTGCCTCCCTTAATTCAATCTTAGTGGTATTCTGGTCTTGTCTCTTGGGTGCTTTCAAATGCAGTTGCCTGATGCCTTTCAAATCATCTGTTACATAAATGGAAGGAACTGGCCTTGGAAAATATAATATTATTGTTTATTTCACTGTCATACTTTAACATAAAACATAAAGTGTAAAAAGCTTTTGTATTTAGCATTTATACATAAATTCTGGTTCTTTCATTTACCTTCTACACAACAGTTTACTATAAACATATAATGTATTGCCTTTAATTCCTTGGTATACAAATCATGCTTGCCCATTCATTACTACTGTTATAGAGTTTTTATTTTTAACAAATTAGTGATTAATCATTGATCACCAGTATGAGTGATGATGTTAACAGTCTTCCTTAATATGCATTCGTAATTATATTAACTGTGGTAGAAATCCCTATTTGCATTGGTATATTGCTAACACATTTTTATTTTGTGTTAAAATTCAATAACAAAATTAAGGAAATATTATTTGTCACTTCTGTATCTACAATGTGCCTAAAATGAATTTCTTTCTATGACACTGTAACAAAGATTTTTCCTTGCCTCGGAATATAAATATGACATTGTTTTTCTTAAACATTTCAACACTTTTGAAAAGTCAAGGGGTCTCATTTCCTTTCTTCAAAGGCCATCTGTACAGACATGGAGCACTACTGCAGACTGCATTGCTTTGGAAAATAATAAAAATATAGAGGCTAGATTAAGGGCACAGACTTGCACCATGTGGAGATCCAGTTTCCACTTATCTACATAAATGTGACTGCAATGTGGTTATGCCTTTGTATATTGTTTTTCTTTGGGAAATACCATTAAGTTTTCTATCTTAGCACATTGTACACTCATAAACAAACTTTATATTTTATCAAGGCATTTATTTTAATTTGGGTATTTAATTTGCCTCTATGTTTTGGAAGACACCACAGTGAATACACAAAACAGACATATTAATGTGTCTATAGGCCAACTTGCCCCCAAAGGACATGTATAGCCTGAGTTTCCATGTTAGTTTCTCATAGTTTTAATCTAAACATTAATAAAGTTACAAATATCTTAGAGGTTTACTGTGTCTGCACAAAAGCCCTGGGATGCTGAGGCTTTAGACTATCAGAAAATGTCACAAGGTCAAAAAACAAAACACTGTATAGGTTGATCATTTCTCATATTTTTTGCTTGTGGTGGACAAAATAAATGCAAACACACCTGTCAGTCTTCAAACATTATACGAAAGATACAGCATTTAATTTACATTTCATTAAGGAATGCTATTCACATAAAACAAGAAGAAGATCCCCAAACCATAAACATCATGTGCAGTGAACAGGCAGTAACCTTAGCTCTAGGTAATAGGGTTTTCATCCAAGAGAGGTCACTTACACTAGAATAAAATTTGGCAACAATGTATTTGGCAACAATGGGTCATGAATAAAAATTCTTTATTTCAATTGAACTATTACTTCTAAATAATTGATT